TTTAGATTCTGGATCTATGAATACACCATTAGGTAAGATATTTGCTTCTATATGCTGTTGTAAAGAAAATTACTATTCTTTCCTTTTTTTGTTGTAAATTTTGTAAAAGAACTAATAATTTAATTTTCACCTAGAACCAATTAAATGTTTTATGAAAGAATGATGGTAAGGATAAAAGATGTGTTATAGACGTAGATGTATAGGTAAACAGAGTGCGCATGATAGTGCCTCTCTTCTCTACACACATCCTGAAACCATATTTTTATCTAACGATGAAATAGTCTTGTTTACGAGAATTCATAGTTCTTCTTTAGAGGAAATTAAAATTAAAAGTTTTCTAAGTTTATAATTCATGCGGAAAAAAAAAGATTTTTTAATGTACTCTAAACAAGACTGGAATTTTTCATTTCTTATGTAACGTGTATTAATAATTTAAGGTGATCTTTCCAGTCCATATGATCGTAATCCAACAAGATGGGATGAACTTCGACAAACTGTTTCAATTGTAGTTGATATTGCTTCTGTGTATGTTTTTTTTATTATCTATTTTACATGATATATACATTTTGTGTTTTAAATAATCTAGTTTTGATCCTGATGGTGTTGGTAAGTGGGGAAATTTAAATAATGATGATAATCCTTATCTTTTATTTACTATTCAGATATTTTCTTCTTAAATCGTGAACCAATGCGTCATGTTAAACATTCTGATGAGCTCATTCCTATATTTGCTGTTCCACCAGCTGGTATATAAAGAAAAGACAGTTTACTTATATATGATTTTCAATATAAATTAGGTCCAACACCAATTGTACGTGTACTTCGATATGTTCTAAGAGAAAAACAATTAGAAATACAAGAACGTAAACTTTTGCTTTTAATTGCTACTGATGGTGTGCCCACAAATGAACAGGGACAACAAGATATAAAATCATTAGAATATGCACTTCGTTATGATAGAAAACCAACTAATCGGGTTCCAGTTACAATTATTGCTTGTACAGATGATGGTGATTGTATTGGGTATGTAATGATTATTTCATATATTCTTCAATCGTTTGTGTTTTTTTTTCTCTTCATTCTATTCTATACAGTTATTTGAATGATTGGGATAAGAAAATACCTAATCTTGATGTTGCCGATGATTATAGATCTGAGAGAAAAGAAATTCTCAAAGCTCAAGGAAAAGATTTTCCGTTTAGTTTTGGTGATGTATGCTATACAATATCTATTCGAAATATATGATTTATCTATATAAAACATTGTTTATTTTTCTAACAGTATGTTGTCAAAGTATTGATGGGTGCTGTTGATGATTGGTTTGATACACTTGATGAACGTCGAGTAACTAGTCGTACTGGTTCAGGTCGACAATCGAGTAAAGGAAAAAAGAATAAATCATGTTCTATACTATAGAAAATTTGATTATCTTCTTTTTTTTGAAATGTAGAAATGAAATAATTTTTGTGCGGATAATGATATTTTTTCTTCTTCTTTGTTTTCTACTGTTAAACGTATTTGTGTATGTACGTGCGTATATTTTTTTTATATGTTGTATGGTATTTTACAAATTCTTAATTTCCTTTTTTTTTCTTTTTTTGAGTCGATAATTATTTAATAAGCAGCAAATACACTGAATAATTGATAATGATAATATATAAAATAAAAATATATATGTTTGTAAATCAATTTCAAATTACAAGACTTTCAATTTATTTGATAAATTATATCGTTAAGAAAATTTGTTAAGATGATGAATAGAATATATTTCTATGATCGACATATTCTGAAAATATAGTTAAGCTTGATTATATTTAAATATATTAATATGCATAGTCCATCGAGATCTTTTATGCAGAAATACTACGCATCATATTTTATTCATCATTTATTTTCTCATGTCAATGTTAATCATCGAAAAAACTAGTACAGAATCTAGAAGAAGAAGAAGAAAAAAAAATTCATGCTCATGAACTGTTTATTCCTTTGAACGGAAAAAGGAAAAGGATATGAAATTGTCAATGTATGTCAAGAGATTAAGTCGCTATTACTTAAACATTCTACAGAATAATTAAACTATAAACATTGCATTTTAATATGTAATCTATTAATTACTTATAAACGAAATTCCATAGTACGTTAAACGATATAATATCAATAGAAAATAATGTTAAAGGTGTTTGCATAAATACAATATAAAATTACAAAGAATATGTAGATCTATTAAAAATCTTCTGCAAACTATTTAATCATACTCATCTATTACATTCATCGTCATATAAGATCAAGTTTGTATATCATTGGACAAGTTAATATAAAATTATTAATTGAATATAACGTTATTTTTCGGTTACTAATTGTATTGATCAATTTGCATGGAAAATCAATGATGATTTATGACTTATTCATACTTACAATGTTCTAGAGAATAAACATATGTCTAAGTAGTTTGTAAGTTAATCAATGTCATTAAGTTCTTGTCAAATTGAAGTCTTGTTGTTAACTAAAAGTTTTAGATACATTTTCATCGGTTCCTTTGATGATTTTATTTGCGTATTGAATATATTTTCTATCAACTGAATAAAAAGAACATGCAATATGTCCATCGATCACTGTAATCGGATTTGATACAATACGAATATATGAGATGCTAATCATATTCGAAAAATTTTCTCGTTGATATACAATTTCTCATAAGTATGTCGTAGTATCTAATCTAATTTAGAGAAATAAAAAGAAAAATATTCATACTTGTATTCTTGTTTTATGAAGATTTCAGAAACATATACTTGATAAAAACTATTTTATGACTTATTGTTATAGCACGTGGATGTGCTTGTACTTTAGTAATATCTTTTAAAAACGGTATCTGTTAATCTGTTTATTCATATGAAAGTACATACAAAAAATCTTTCATTTATGTAGAAACATGGCAGAGAAAGATAAAGCATATTGAAATAGTGTAGTAGTTATGATATTTTACAAGCTAGAGAATTGTCATAAATTATGATTTTTACTTGAACATTGTCGTGTTAAATCCAATAGAAAAAATAATGCTAATAGCTTCTATATTTGTAAATTCAATATTGATATTATTTTAAAAAAATGATTTAACAATAATTATTTTTATCAGCAATCTTTTTTTATCAAGATAAGTATATAAACTAATCTACCTCGCACGTCGACGAAAGTTTCAAAAAGAATCAACTATCTTTTGATGTTTATTATCATAGATGATTTCCTAGTTTATCTTCTTCTAATAAATAGAAGTAGCTACTAATTTTCGAGCACATATTTGACATATTTGCCATAGAAGTATAGTTTTTATATTTTTGCAAATATTATTTACTCATAACAGTAGGTTATTGTAGTTAACTCGAATTGTTTGTTTTTAGATACCTATCCTTTTAGTTAATAGTTCATTTCTACGTAGTTTTAGTTGATCACATTCATTATCTATCATTTAATAAGTTTTCGAATATATCAAACATTCTTTTATTTCTTTGTTTTGTGTTCGTTGATTGTAAATACATTTTACGCAGGCGAAATAAGTATATTTTAACCTTGGATTGTCTTCTCTTTTACGGTTTGTCTTATCATTTTTTGTATATTTTCTCTTCTTTATCTTAACTTTTAACGACTGGCAAGCTGCTTAACTACATAGTTTATATAGTACCAATACTGATGAACTTCTTTATTAATCATTCAAATAGTAATCGAATAGGGATTTTTTTTTGTATTTTGACGTACATACTATCGATCAATAATATATTAATTAGTAGGATAAAACAGACAGTGAATAACAACTATGTGTCATCACTTTCAAATAAGCACACGCGGTATGTCAATACAAGATTGCGTAGGTTGTTAATGACGTCACACTGTTTGACGTCATTTAGAAGACTTTAGTAAATCATTTCTCTGAATAAATATACCCTTTTACGATGTCATTTATTTTCCGTATAAATATATCATAGAAATAAATCACCCTCATCTTAGATAAAAATTTTGATTATTCAAACCACCGATGACATACGTCAATGTAGATTCCGCTCAGTATTCTGGTATGAATGCTCCTTCAGCTCCATTTCAGTCGAACATGCCAACAAATTATAATCGTGCACCTTCTAATATAATGGCAACACCCGAAGAACGTATGCGAAAGTTTGCTGAAATAGCAGCTCAATATGAAATAAGTCATGACTTTGCATCTCGTTTACGACAGCTTGAAGGTTATGAAATTGTCTTTCTCTGTGATGATTCAGGATCGATGGGAACTGCTGTTGGTAAGTCACACTTTTTTTTCTTTACATCAACAATGCATTATCTAATTAATTTTTTATTTTCTAGGAGCTAGTTCCGATGCTTTTGGAGTACGTTCCACTCGTTGGGATGAATTAAAACAAATTGTTACTATTACTGTTGATATTGGTTCTGTACTCGACCCTGATGGTTTAGATATATATTTTCTTAATCGTCCTCCAATATTTCATGTTAAACATGGATCTCAACTTCAATCTGCATTTATTAATCCACCAAATGGTTTAACACCCATAACAAGTGTACTCCGTCGAATACTTAAAGATAAACAGAATGAAATACAAGAACGTAAACTCTTGATTATTATTGCTACTGATGGACAACCAACGGACGATTACGGTACGACTGATATTGAGGCATTAGAACGTGTTCTGAAAAATGAACGAAAACCACCTGAACGAGTTTTAGTAACTTTTTGTGCATGTACTGATGATGATCAAGCTGTTGGATATTTAAATAAATGGGATGAAAAAATTCCCAACGTTGATGTATGCGATGATTATCGATCAGAACGAGAGCAAATCTGGCAGGTAATTATCTACATAAATATATATTTATAGTATATTTAATATCGATTGATTTTTAGGTTCAAGGACGACAGTTTCCTTTTTCATTTGGAGATTATGTAGTAAAAATATTATTAGGTTCAGTTGATCCATATTTTGATAATCTTGATCAGAAACAAGTTGGTGCGAAGAATAATTTGAATTGTTGTTCTTTAATGTGATCTATTTCAATATCAACAAGATAATTATACATTTACATAATGAATTTATTTATTTTCCGATTGCAACGAATGATATAATTTTTTTGCTGTTGTTTACATTTTTGTAAAACTTTCTATTTTTTAATAAAATTCTTGATCTGTAATGTTCACCTACAATCTACTTGAATATATTTTTATAAAAAAAAAAGATTTCTACTTTTATCAGCTAAATTAATAGATACGTCTATACTTGTTCTTGTTATGTGTTTGAGTAAAATATTAGATTAACAGATTATAGTTGATACCATTAAAGTTACTATAGTAAATGCATACCCGATCATTGTGACGTCTACAATCATGGGAACTATTCCTTTTATTATTACAAAGTCAAGAACAAGAAGCAATATGTGTAGCCGTTGACTTAGAAACAAGATCTCGAATCGTTATTACACATATGAATAAAACAAATAAATACAATTCTTTTGCAGAAAATTTCCATTACTAAATCAATCGTAGTCGTTAAATCCTATTATATTTAAAACAATGTAGCATAAGTAATTATTGCAAACGAAAGAAAACATGAGAATATTGACATCATTATTATTCTGTTGTTTTATACGAAGTCAATGGTATTACATATAAATGATAATTTTGAAGAATATTCGATTGCAATCAATACATGAATTGATATATTTTTTTCTATTTATCTTTCATTCTATTATTCATCATGAAATAAACATACACATAGACAAGAGCCATTTCATGACTTAGGACAACGAACATAAGGTTTGTTTTTTTTTTGACTTAGATTAAGAGCACAAAGCAGAGAACGTGCATGAGACAGAAAAAAAGAACTTAGATAGGATGAGAAAAAAAAACAAAACAAAAAAAGAATTAATATGTCAAGTATTCATTGGTGCTGTTGATTGTTCATCATTGCCATCAAGTAAGAAGATGATGATGATGGTGTAAGGATAATATTCGAAAGATCACTACTAGTCGTAGTTGTTGTTGTCGTCGTCATCGATGTTGAAATAGGTGGATCTTTAGATTTGAAAATCTTATATCCAACACCGGCAGGTTTGGGTAAAAGTACAGGAAGAGGACGAAGTGCAATTTTTGTCAAATATGGCGAAAAATTTGTTTTTTGAGTTCGTTTCATATTTTGTTGATCTCTGTATACGAATAAATAAAACGATAAAAAAAGAAAATAAAAACTAGAAAATAATCTTACATTGTTTTAGGTGTTGTTGATAAAGTATTTGCTTCACTCACTGCATATTGAATATCACGAGTGAGTCGATCAAAAGTGACTTCATTTTTTCTGACAATATTTTTTGTTGAACTTTTATAAATTGGTAATAAATTAGCTGGTTGAGCTAAAGTTATTTTTGATCGAATTATTGTTGAATCTTCTTCTTCTTCTTCTTTTATATCATGATTACTATTACTATCGTTTGAACGTGGTGGTGATGAATCATCAGGACAAAAAACAGAATTTTCATCTGCACAATCAGATGTTGTTTCATTAAGTAATTTTAAATTATTTGTTCGAAGTCTATTACGTCGTTGAACATCATTCCATCGACGTACAATTTTTAATGTTTGATTAGAATTTGTTATAACAGATTTTATTTGATGAGAATTACCATCACCATTAACATAAATTATTGGTGATCCAAGTTTTTCATTTAAATCAACTGATGTATGACATAACTAAATAAAAAAATTTATCAATCGACAATATTCTTTTAATAGTATTTGCGCTTGCTCTTTCGACTATAATATGAGTATTTTTTTAGTATCAAGAGTACTGCAAGGATAACCATTCGAAACAAAGTCTTAGTGTTTAAATGGACACTAACGTTGGAAGTGCACAATTTTATTCTTGAATAGACATTCTGTTCGGTATTCATTCTTTTTTGATGATTAATGAAATAAATGTCTTTATGTCTAATTGAATGGTTCATTAGATTCAATTCTGTAGTACGAGATAGTCAATGATTTTTATTGACAGAAAATAAAATACGATTGTTGGATTAGTAGAAATATATAAAGTTTTGTGTAAGCATACAGTAAAATTCAGTAAGAAAATCTCAAACTTATCATATTGATTATGAACTATATGAGCAAGCTTTCGTATTATGAACATAGGAGAACATCTATATGTGATGACTGAATAAGAAATGATTCATAAGTTGAGTATATTTTTACTATCGCATTGCTTTCATTGAATTGTCATCTCGTCTGACAGGACTATCAAATCCTACTTCATATGGCCAAAACTTGCTGAATTATGAAAATAAGATCTTTTGGGCAGAATAAATCACACTTTCATACACACAACATTGTCCGTCACATATATCAAATTGAAGTCTATTCAACTTATCAGTTAGAAACGAATTGGGTCGTTTTACCAGCTATAAAAATAAGCACAAATTGACATTTTGCATTTGACTATCCTATCACACTATGTTATGAAGAAGCTCATTCTTTTTCAGAAAGATATTACTTATATGAATAAATAACTTACACGTGGTGCAATAGGTTTTGGTCTAAATCGTTGATCATTTCTTGCTATTGGTCGATAACGATTATTGAGTAAACGTGTCATTTTTTTCGGTAGTTGTAAATCAAAATTAGTTGTATGTGTTGTATTTTCGATATATTCATCATCTTCATCTGTATCTGAATGACTTTTATCCGATTCATTGTCATTATGATGATCATGATCATCGTCCTTATCATTATCTTCATCATCTTCATCATTAAGCATTTTATTCATATCAAAACGTGTACGTCGACGTCGACCACGTTGACTAATATTTTTATTTGAATCATCAAAATAAGATGATGAAATATTACTATTTTCATTTGTTTGACTTATTGATAGCATTGATTCATCACCATGAAGAGTATTTTCGAGATTTTCATGTTCAGATTCTGATGCTGTTATACTTTCATCACTTGTATATTCTTTAATTTTTAATTTTCGTTGAAGTGATTTTTTTGAATCACGTTCTAAACGTTTTGTTTCAATAAGATTAAAATTAATTAATAAATCTTTTAATTTTTCTATTAAATAATTTGATAATTTTCTATGTTCACATAATGGACAAAACCAATCACCATCAGGTACAGATAAAAGTATAGGACGTAAACATTCCAAATGATAAGCATCATCGCAATCATCACATAATAATAAGACTTCTGGACGATCACTTTTTGAACAAACATTACAAGCTGTTATTATTGTTGATGCTTGAGCTGTTTTAGCTGTACGTAATTCTTCACCAGTTGGATTATTATCTTCATCAAGTAGAAAAAAATTTTCATCACGTTCAAGTTCAGTTAAATTCGGAAGATAATCATCAGAATCATAATCAGATAAATAATCAATATGTTCATCGGAACTTGAACTTGATAAACATAAATCATCGTCTATATTTCGTCGAGAAGTTGTCTTACGTCGACGACGAGAACGACTAGATTTAGCAGGATTTAAAGAATTATTGGATGTTTTTGTTTTACCATTCATTGATCGTTTCTTTTTAGCATGAGATATCTAAATAGATTTATTTAAAACATGTATATTTTCATTAAATAAAGTTCTAACAACTTAATTTCATCTTGCGGTTTTAGACAAAACAATTCAAATGAAATACTACTAAGTATTGTACTTATTTCTTTTTCTTTATATAAAAGAGTTTCATACCTGTGACTGAGCTTTTGGTGTTAGTTCCATTGTTGTCGATTTTCGAGGTCGTGCTGATCGACGTATAGACTGATCAGTATGACTAACCGATGAATCATCTTGTTGTTTATCATTTTCTTCCATTTTAGAATCATCATCATCGTCGTCATCATTATGAATATCTTCCGTAATGATTTTACGCTTTCTGCCTCTACGAGCTGGAGTTATTACTTCCTCTTTTTGATGCACATCAGATTGTTTTGTTTCTTTGGTTAATGATTTTGTTGAACTTCTTGGTCGTCCACGTCGTTTTTTTTGTAGATATATCTAATTCTTCATCTTCATTTGACGTATGCTCAATTTCTTCTTCTTTCATTTCGATTGGTTTGGTTAAACTTCGTGGCCGTCCACGTCTTTTTTTTGTTGATATATCAGATTTTATATCTTCAATGGATATTGGTTCAACCTTTTCTTCTTTTATCTTCATGTCAATTTGCTTTATTGAACTTCTTGGTGGACGTCCAGGTCGTTTTTTTTGTTAATCCATCAGATATTTCATTTTGATCTGATGTTAATTCAACTTCTTGTTTTTCTTTTTTTATCGCAGTTTTCATTTGAATCTGTTCTTTAGCTAATGATTTAATTGAAGTTTTTGGTCGTCCACGTTTCTTCTTAAGTGATTCATCATCATTTGATATTGGATTAGTATCTTCTTCTTCTTCTTGTTTTACTTCTACATCGACCTTCTTTGATGATGCTATTGAACCTCTTGGTCGTCCACGTTTCTTTTTTAATGATTCAGTAGATTTTTCATTATCATTTGAATTTTGTTCAGTATCTTCTTCCTCCTCATCTTCTTCTTGTTTTATTTCCGTTTCTATATGATTTTTTTCATTGTTCATTAATTTTATTGAACTTTTCGGTCGTCCACGTCTTTTCTTTACTGATTCATTTTCAGTTGGTGTTGATTCAATATCATTTTCTTCATGTTTCGTATCTACTACCAAGGGTAAATAACGTTCTTCAAAATCATTCGTTGGTAATAACGATGAAAATGGTTCGTAATCAATAGCCCAATCTATACAACAAAAAAATAATTGAAAATTATAAAATATGACATTTATAATAAATTCTACCCGAGAATTTCTTTCGTACAACAGAATCAGTGATTAATAATTTAATAAAATTTTCTAATTCATCTCGATCTCTAGAAAAAATATTGTCTATAAATATTATTATAAGTAACTTTTCTTGACCTTACTTAGCAACATTACTCCATGTTCGATCGATATCAATATCTTCACGAAATAAACGTACAAAACAATTTGTATCCTACAATAAAATTAAAAAAAAA